AGAAGAGAGATAATTGCCCACACGCCAACGGTTCAGTATATCTCTCCATTGCGGGTCATCCCTGTGACGCATGTTTTCGTCCAATATGACTACGTAGTTAACTGCCTTGTACACTGTGTTGCCTCGAATACGTTCCAGATAATGCGTCGCGTCGCTGGGTTTCATTTTGTTACCATCTCGACCAGGGTCTGGGACTGAAAAAGCAGGACACCCAGCAACGGGAAGTTGTTGGAGCCAATCACCGACGAATAAAACATGAACACCCCCGAAAAGGGAATCGGGAGCACCTTTGAGATCGCGCAATGCAGCATCGGCCATTCCCAAAAATCGGCTATCCATTGTCGATATCTCATCAATAATAAGCATCTTCAGCTTGGCAAACCTTTCACGTTGCGAAAAACTGTAACTCGGCTTTTTCTTTCGCGAGTGAATTCCCCATCCGAAAAACTTGTGCAGTGTTTGCCCATTAGCCGCCTGAGCGGCGACGCCTTGGTAAGCCGCAGTCCCTAGCGAATCTGAGCTTTCCCAGCTGGCCGCTAACTTCTGTAGAGCCTTAATTACTTGGCTTTTACCAGCGCCAGGTAAACCACCGAGAAATCCAATGAACTGTTTGTTCCCAGGCACTGAATCTTGGGCGAGAGATTTCAAGAGGTGACACCCGGCACAAGCAAACATTTTATGCTGCTTTTTGTTAAGCCGATAGTATGCGGCAACTTCTTGTATAGAAGCGTTCGCGCCTACCGACGGAGGAACAGTACTCTCGTCAAGGGTAGAAGGGTCTATCCATTCTTGCGACGTCCATGCACATCGCAGAAGATCGACGCGGGTTGGAAGCGAAACAGCGATTCGATTTCGCGGCTCACCATCCTTGGAATCCAGTGGAGTTGTACCGATTGTAGTACCGATTATGCGGTCGACCTGATCTCCGGTGAGAGAAGGCGGGTCAATTGATACTCGCAGTACGTCTGTGGATTGCGCTGCTAAGGAGGCAGCCTGAATAGCTTTCGGGAGAAGCGAAACGTTAGTTATAACACTGTGGACAGTTTGAGGAAACACGTCATCGACGCCAGGAGATACAGAGCACAATTCGCGCTCCGTTTCTTCGTGGTTGTCATCACAATCGCAACTTTCATTCACTTCTTCGGCATCCACGTATTCACTGTAGCGAAGCGTATCCAAATCCGTCCGCGTACTAGCCAACTCACGTGAAGCATAATAATCCAAAGCATTTTCCAAAAAAATACGAGCATGCTCAGACGCAGCGGATCTAAACCAAGAGTTATAAAACTCGTCGAGAGATTGCGTGGGAGGCTGTAAATCCGTCTTATCGCGAAACGGGAGGAACAAAAGTAAGAGCGCACGCTGGAACCTGATTAATTGGTC